CAGCAGGCGGCACGGGGCTACGGCCGCCGGGTCCCACAGGGACAGTATGTAAGGAGGCTGCTCCTGGGCCAGCAGGCCGCACGGGGCTACAGCCGCCGGGTCCCACGGGGACAGTATGTAAGAAGGCTGCTCCTGGGCCAGCGGGCCGCATGGGGCTACAGCCGCCGGGTCCCACGGGGACAGTATGTAAGAAGGCTGCTCCTGGGCCAGCAGGCCGCATGGGGCTACAGCCGCCAGGTCCCACGGGACTGACTACATGATTTGAGTCCTGGATCCAGCAGGAAAACATGCCAGCCACATGTGTGGCCCAAAATCTAATGGAGGAGAAGGGGTCGCAGCACAGCTGTCCCCCCAGGGGGTGATTTCACTCTCGCTCTCACTCTCTCCCAGAGCACACGCACCCTATAACAAACTAAAAAACAAAAGCCACAGGAAGCAGCAGGAAGCCCACGGAAGCAAGCACAGCGGGACCGCGCTGCAGAAGTGCGAGGGGAAGGGGCGGCTGCAGGCTGGGTGTGCAGGACAGAGATGTCTGCGGAGGTGACACCCAAGCCCAGGGGTCAGCGAGTGGCAGTCTTGGGGAGAAGCACGCCCAGCAGACAGGAGTCTGTTCCAGAGGGAAGGCAGAGGGTGAAAGGTCGGAGGTGACACGACGCCTCTGCGCCACTTGGATTTTGCCCTAGTTCAAGGAAGAGGCGCTCGGAGGGCTTAGGCTGGTGCTATTATTAGATGTACATTTGTAAAAGATCCTCTGGCTGTGGACAGAAGTTGAGCAGGCGACGGTCAGCGTGGTGAGACAGGACAGGGGCGTGGACGCATCTGGAGTAGGGCCGCAGGACTTGCGGGGGGGTTGCCGGTGGGAACAAAGCAGCGTCGATCCCCAGCACTGGACCCAAGCCACTGGTCAGCCATTCGTGCCCTTTACTGAGCTGGAGCATGTCATGTGTGGGATGGGGGTGGCACCTGTCGGGAGGGTGACTCAGACTTCCCTGGGGACCTAGGTGGGGACACTGCTATGACAGCCACACGGGGACACTGACTAAGCCATGGGAGTTAGGAGCCTGGGTCTCAGAGGGACCCAGGACTAGACCTACACATTTAGGAACCGCAGACACATACATAACACTGGAATTTGCGGATTCGGCGACATTTCCTGGGTAGAGAATACGGAGGATGGAAGACTTGGAGACCAGCCTTGGTGCCTGGAACACTCAGAGGCCGAAGCACTGGCGTGTCACAGGAGCCAGGAGAGCGGTGTTTCGAAGGGAGCGAACGGGCAACCTGTCGCACGCCCCTGAAAATAAGTGAGCTGAGGGCAGAGCTGATGACTGGGCTGCGCGCACCAGAGGCCTGCGATGACCTCGGCCAGCTAGGCCCTGCCGCCCAGGTGGGGCAGGCCGGAGGGGACCCCTCTAGACCACCGTTGGAAGTTGGCCAGGAAGGGAAGCGATGGGCAGTAGCTGCAAGGGTCCGAGGGATCCAGACAAGCTGTGCCCGGGCCAGAGAGCCGTGTGAGTGGACGGGGCACGTCTGCCCGCTGCAAGGTGAGCCCCTGCAGGGCAGGAGCGGGGTTCAGTCACGGCGAGCGCCTTGCTCAGATACTTCCGTGGCCTCCCGGGCAGCTGCATATCGACTCTGGTGTCCATCCTTTTCTGGTTGATTCGTAGTTCTTTGTAGGTGCTGCATCACATTTGTAAAGTAGGAGTTAGATGACTTGTAAACGGGGTCGGCAGGGCATGGTGGTTAAGGGCACTGGACTCCTACATGGCCAACCACAATTCGAGTCCCAGACCTGGCGGCTTGCTTCCTCACTTTCTCTCTCTCTCTCTCTCTCTCTCTCTCTGTCCCTCTCTGGTCAAATACAATAATTATTTTTTTTAATGGCTTGTGAACAATTTCCCTGAGTCACAGGTCATCTTTCACTTTCTCTTTTTTTTTTCCAGCTTGCCAGAGGGCACGGTACTCCCTATGAAGAGAGACAGAGAGACAGAGAAAGAGGAGTGGGAGCACCCCCGATGGGGCACGGCTACCCTGCAGTCTCTGCATCCATTTCTCCATCCTGTCAGGATTTGGGGCTGCCACATGCCCGGTATGTCCCTCAAGCCACCAGGGCTAGGATTCGAACCACTGTTTACCATGTGGAATCCAGCCATCTTAACCACCAGGCCATGGAGCCAGCTCGTCTTTCATCTTGTCTCTGACGCTTGTCAAAATGAAGTCACTGGTTACAATACAGTCGAGCTCGTCCTGTCTTACTCCACGGCCGTGCTTGGTGCGTCTCGCTGGGACACCCCTCAGTAAGGTCACTTGATGTTCTGCTTTTCCCGCCATCTCTTCTCCAACTTGGCTTCCACGCGGAGTGCAGTTTTGAGGGGTGGGTGGCGGACCTCTGCAGCCACTTTTTGTGGCGCTCTCCGCGGAGGCAGGCAGGAGCCAAGCAGGGCGCCAGCCAGGGGAACAGAGCAGCTCTGGGCCCTGGTCCTGTGTGGCCCCCAGCTGCTGTCCGCAGAGCGGCCGGCCTGGGCGTGCACCCCACCCCACCCGGCAGTGAGCGCTGGCCAAAGCTGCAGACGGCTTTCTGCTGGACTGTGGGGAGCTAAGCAGAAGGGGCCGTCCTACATTGGGATGAGGTGCAGGCAGCATGGTGTCCCTGAGCAGAGGTCAGATGTTGTACCCTCACAGCCCCTGAAGTCAGGTGGCCCTGGAGGAGCAGGGCAGGCACCAGGGGCGCTCTGACAGCTGGAGTGGCAGCAGGTCCCTGGAGGGGACGCACTCCTAGTGGCAGCAGACCGCCTGGTGGCGAGCCGCTCACGCCACCAAAGCCTCTGGAGGCCAGTGTCACTGCAGTTTAGCTGCCGAGGAAAACGCGAGCTCTGGTATGAGGAGCACTGGCCACCGAGGCTTCTGCACGCTGATGGCGGAGTACCGTGACGCAGGCACTGAGAGCTGGCCAGTTGCTACGACTCGGCAACCCCCGCGTCCTCCGCACACCCAGCACCTCATCTGACCCCAACAAGCGCCCCGTCACCTGGACAGTATTGCCTTTGTTTCTTTTTCAGAGTCTGGTCCTCAGGCCTGGAGTCTCAGCCCCCCCAGGACCACTCTAGCTTGAACCAAGACGGGAACCCCGGCCCCCCATGCCACCCCCACATGCAGAGACCCACATCTTAATGGTGCATGGCACCGTGGCTGGGTGTCTGGTTTTCCTCTAATAAACGAGGAAAGGCTGCCAGACACGCACTCCCTCCTGCAAAGGAGACCCAAGCAATCCTCTCTCCGGGCATCCTAACCCAGCCCTGGGAACAGAAGGGGAAGGCGACTACATGCGGTCAACTACATGGGAGTCCGGCAACATAGCCATTACACTAACTGCGGTCCCAATGTGGGTCATTTCTTGTGCTCTGTCTCTATCTCTCTCTGTGTTTCCATCAAGCGCACATGCCCTGTAGCAAAAATCTCTCTAAAAACAAAAGCCCGAGTAAAAATTGCTGTCTGGTTCTTAGTTTCCCCTAGGGGTAACAGGAAGCCGAAGCAGTTCCTGGGCTTGTCTAGGGCAGAGGAGACCTCCTAGCCTTTGGGGCGAGGGGACGGCCATGTCTGCCAACCTAGCTGTGGTGGGCGGGTCTAGGCTGAGAGGCCATGGCCCTTCCTGGGGCTGCTGGACAAACAGCAGGCAGCATCTGCAGATGGGCACCTTGGCAACTCCCAGGCTGGGTCCCAGGTCCTTGGGCCAACAGGGCTGTTCTCCACAGCTGCAAGAATGTTCCGGGCCTCCCTTCCACGGTCCGCCATCATCTCTGGGGTTCCTTGGCTTGTGAAAGCCTCACCTCGAGCTTGGCACCTGCACCTGCACCTGCCTGCTGTCTCGCCACGTCTACTCCTCGACCCCTTCCCCAGGGACAGTCACCATGTGAGGGCCCACCTGCTCCTGCACCTGCCCGCTGTCTCGCCACATCTACCCCTCGACCCCTTCCCCAGGGACAGCAGTCACTATGTCAGGGCCCACCTACTCCAGTGGGCCTCAACTCCAGGACCCCACTGCACTGTTGCATTGGCCCCTATTTCCAAACTCTGAAGTCACCTTCCGAAGTCAGGGCTTCAACACAGGAATTGGAAGCGGCAGGTGAGGGGTCTTCAAATTAACCCATAACAGAGGAAGTGCTGGGGGAGAGGGCAAGGGAAGGGGCCTCAGAGTCTACCTCAGGGTCAAGGACATGAGCCTAAGGCTGTGCAGACTCACCAGACGTCCAGGGAGCAGCAGGTCGCCTCGTAGTGACCGGACGTCCGGGGGGCAGCAGGTGCCACTGTAGGGACGCCGACAGGTGAGGTTCATACCAGGCTCTGCTGCCTGGTCCAAAGCTGGTTTGACTGGAGCTGACAAATGTCATCGTGTCACGTGGTGTTTAACAACGAGGGACAGGAAACAGCCCCGCAAACTCACTGCAGTTTACTAAGGAGAGGACACAGCAAGGACCGCCCTTGTGGCCAGGGCTCATGTTACACCCACCCGCTCCCCCACCCCGAGCAGTATAAATAGGACGAAGCCCGTCAAGGCAGAAGACAAGCTTGTTCCCTCAGAAATAGCCCGGGCCAGCAGGGCACCAGATGGCTGTCACAGTGACCTCTGAAGACCCGTCACATCATAATAACATTTGCATGCTAAGTGACACACCCACCAGCGCCATGACAGTTGGCAGTCACCAAGAGAACTGCCCGGAATGTCCTCATGACGTGGAGACACAGAGGTGCAGGGGTGCTCGGGCCAGCGGCCACAGCGGGACACAGGCGCTGTCTCGCCGCGGGCACCGAGGCCATACCGAGCGAGGGATCATGGGAGGGGGACGATGGACCGGAAACAGCTCCCAAGAAGGGAAGAACGAGGCCGAGGCCAGGGGGCTCTATCCGGGTCCGGGGGCTTTGTTCAGCCTCTCGTGCCTGCGTTCCCCTGTGCCGATGGTCACAAGGTATACAGGTCATGCGGACCCCCGGGGCCTCTCAGTCCTGAGTCCCTACTTAATGGCCATGAATTGGAAACGGTCTGTTCAGAAGCTGTGAATCTGCAAAGGCCATTACCTCAGTCAACTTGGAGGACCCAGTGAGCCATGGCTCAGAATTCACCCCCAGAATCAGGGAGCGCCCCAGCGGTCAGAAGTGCCTTGCCCCACCCCATCGTTCTTTGTGAAATGCTGCTCCATTACCTGCTGTCCAGGAGTAAGTCCCCATCATCCGGCCTTTTGCTCTTCGTCTAATTGAGTCCAATCGTAAAGGGCCATGAATTCTTTAAGACTGACACGTCTCAGGGCAAAGCAATGTGGAACTGGGAGAGGAGGGATTAGGGTCACACAGGAAGCGCAGGGACGCCGTCAGAGCCCACGCAGCACAGGGGCTCTCCTGCCGGTGCTGGAGCGTGCTGCCCTGTCTACCTGCACAGGGGGACTCTCCCCGTCTCGCCGGGAGAAAAAGGAACTCTGGGAAGGCCCGTCTTCTCCAGGAAGAACCATGCATACTGCACCTGTGCTAACCCTGGCCCACCCCGTTTCCCCATCCGAGGAGTGGGAAGTCGGGCTAGCAGGTGGTGTGGCGGTTAAGGGCGCTGGACTGCCACAAGGCTCACCACGGTTTGAGTCCCAGACCTGGCTGCTTGTCTTTCTCGCTTTCTCTCTCTCTCTTCCTCTCTGGTCAAATTAAACTAAATAAAATAATTTTAAAAAGGGAGGAGTGAAAAGTCAATTTTCATCTTCTCCATTCTTTGGTCACTGAAAAATCTTGTGCCGTTTTTTTTTTTTTTTTTTTGGAGAGATTTTCACTATAGGGCGCATGCGCTCGCCAGACAGACAGAGACAGACAGAGAGACAGAAAGCGAGAAATCACCCCCCAGGGGAGATGGTCACGCCGCAATCCCTTCTCCTCCATTCTCCTCTCGGGATCTTGGGCACGCACGCACACGCACCCGGCGTGAGTTTTAAGCCACCGGGTCTGGGACATGAACCGCGGTCGACTACATGGGAGTCCAGTGACATAGCCATTACGCTAATTGCTGGTTCCCTTGTGCCGTTTTTTGTGTTCGTTAATTTGGCTCCACAATACATGCCGGTGTGAGTTTAAGCCGCCAGGTCCAGGATTCGAACCACGGTCGACTACATGGCAGTCCACTGACATAACCATTATGAGACTTGAACCTCAGGGTTGGCTGTGTGGGAGCCAGCTGCTGCAATCACCGGGTAATGGAGCTGGCTCTTGTTTTTAATATATCGAATTGTGAGGGGCCAGCAGGTGGCATGGTGGTTGAGGGCACTGGACTCTCACATGGACAACCACAGTTCAAGGCCCAGACCTGGCGGCTTGCTTCCTCACGTTCTCTCTCTCTCACACTCTCTACCTCTCTGGTCAAATTAAAAAATAAACAAAGTTAAGTAAAAAAATTCTTTTTAAAAATAATTATTTACTTTTTAAATTTATTCATTTATTTTAATTGACCAGAGAGAGACACAGAGACAGAGTAGGAATGTGAGAAAGCAAGCCACCAGGTCCGGGACTTGAACCATGGTGGGCCATGTGGGAGTGTCCTGCACCTTAACCACCATACCACCTGCTGGCCCCAATAAAATAATTCTTTTAGAAAAATATTGTATTTTGAGTCCTGTTTTCCTTCCTATATTTAAATCATATCTTCAAATACTTAAGTTTATTTATGACGCATCAAACAAAAGACAAAGGGCATTACTTTCACGAATCTACCTTACTTTTCCTTCTCAAGAGAAACAAGAGTCCTAAAGAAAATCCGTGATTGGTGGTGACAAGCCAGTCAGAACACCAGCCTGTGGGGACGAGCCAGGCACCGTCCTGCCCACGAGGTCCCAACCACGGCTCGGGCGTGTGCCATCACATGCGTGCTGTCCTGTTTCTGTATAGCTACACACACACCTATGTCCAAAATCCTTAGAAACCAGAGAGTCATCTTAAGGAAGGATATACTCTAATTATTCTGTCACTAGTACCTATGTCAATGTCCTAGGCCTTAAACTCTTCTTTGGGGCGGAGAGGTTTTTACTATAGGGTGCATGCGCTCGCCAGAAAGACAGCGAGAGACAGAGAGACAGAAAGTGAGGACTCACTCGCTAGGGGGATGGCCACGCAACAATCCCTTCTCCATTCTCCTCTGGGATGTTGGGCACCCTGCATAGTGGGCGGGAAACTAGGTGGGTCATTATCCTAAGTCTGCCACCAGCATGCAGTCTGTCCTTGGGCAAGTCCCCGAGTTCTCGGAGCCTCCACTCACCTCTCCCACACACTACTTCAGGTCATCCCTCCCTCTCTGTTCTGGATGACAGAGCCAGCTGTCTCTCCTTAGAAGAGTGACAGTCATTATCAGGGGATGTACCTTAAGGAGATGATTAAAATCAGTGTAGGCATCCAAAGGAGAAGGACTCAACTCTCAAGTGGAGAAAGCTCAAATAAGTTTGAAGTAGGGACCAGCAGGTGGCCTGGTGGTTAAGGTGTCAGACACTCCCACATGACCAACCATGGTTCAAGTCCTGGACCTGGTGGCTTGCTTTCTCACTTGCTCTCTCTCTCTCTCTGGTCAAGTTAAAATAAATGACTAAGTAAATAAAATTTAATAAATAATTCTTAAAAGAAAAGGAGTTTGGAGTCTATTTCTACCCTTTCGGTCTAAACAAAGGAGCATCCTTTAAGCTATCGACATAGCTCTCCTCACGGATAGATCGTGACCCGTCTCATTCCTGTCCGGGACTCAAGCCATGTCCGACCGCGTGGGAGTCCAGCTTTAACCACCACGCCACCTGCCAGCTCCCGGCCGGTGACTTTC